CCTCCGATGCTCAAGTCAGTTTAGTATTCAAGGAGGTTCAAGTAGAAAAGCGAGATATCATATCTGGGCCAATGACTTCTGTATTTATAGTGCCTAAGCGTCGAGTTTATCATCGTCCTTCACAAGGCGGTATTCTAGTTGATTGGTGGAGAAAGATGGCCTCTCTCAGGCTATTCTTTAATAGGTAAGCCTATGTTCAAAGTAGATTCTATGGTCCATGGCAGCAAGGTGGTGCCGCCATTCTTTCACTAGCCCTTGGAGGTGGCCAATTTGTCTGAGCTGTTGACCCTAATATTGAGGGTTTCATACTAGTTAAGCTACATTAACTTAGTGGCCAAGTCTTCATGCGAGATTTATGCCTTTATGGCGAGATAGTTTGCCTTAAAGGCTATGTCACCTTTTGTGTCTATGTCACTAACGGTGGCTTGGGCCTTGACTTTACATATGTGGGGTCCGGATCAAGATGTAAGAACTGTGTTGGTCGAAGCTCAGGAAAATCTTTGTTTGTAATATTTTCCTTCATATGAGCATAGAGTGGATCCCTACTTGAAAGGCTATTTTTGTGTTCTTTACCATATAAGGAGATCGCATGACATGATATTAAATAAAAAAAATTTCGATTAAAGCAAAAATACATAAATTGATATATAGAGATCAACAAAACAAATTCAAAAGAACCCAACAACAAACATATATTATTATGGGAAATAGTAGACACACTGTATCAGTAAAGACAATTAAAATAACAGTAGGGAAATACTTACAGTAATAGTGAGAACTATGGGAATTACAATAATAAGGAAACTAAAATACTGACAGTAAGGTAGGGTAGTCTAGAGCCTGATTGAAGCTTAGGCCTTTTGTAAAAGTTGTTATAAATGTTAATTAAACGGTGAAAATGAACTTAGATAGTCATTTGGTTATTGTTCAATAAATTGGGAAATTCATGATTGGGTTTGTGAATTTCTAGCATTTTGAGCAATTAGCGAATTGGATGATTGATTGTGTCCATTGTGGTGCTAGGATTGAGCCTTGTGGACCAACATTGAAAGACCAACCATTGGAGGAAGCAATGGAGCTTGATTAGCTCATTGAGATTGGTGTTTGTTGTGAAGTTGTTATTGATAATTGTAAAGCTTGATTACTCATTGGTGGTGAACAAAGGTTAAGCTTGGAAGCACATTGAGGTAAGCCTTCGGACCTTGAAAATTGATCCCTTTGTTGTTCCACCAAGCCCTGATTGGGTAGTGGTTATTGATGTGTATGTAAATGTAATAAAGTAGTTTAATGCTTTGTTATATGTATGTGTAGGCACTGGGTGTGGCATAGGATGGTGTTTCCCTATATTTTGTATGTTGCATGACGATGCGTAATTTATACTTTGTAGTTTAGCTGGCCAGTAGGACTATTTGCATTTGAGTACTGGAGATGTTTTTACACATTGCATGGATATGTATTTACTGCATTATTTACTGTTATTGCTATTATATTATGAGTGAACTATAGGATGGAGAGATGCTCCAAGGATCCCTGGTTTACTAAGGTACATTTGTATATCTCACTCAGTGTTGTGGGGACCCCATTTCAGGTACAGATGCTGCATGAGCCTCTAGTGGCAAGTGACTGTATTTGGGCTAGATGTCATATGTTGATAGCCGGTCATTTTGGATTGCATCTCATTTAGGATTGTAGATATATATATGTCATTTACATTGTCACCTGTATATATATATATATATTTTGAGGCCACATGATGTATTTTGGAGGACTTAGTGCATGATCATTGTGATGGTGAATGCTTTGTTGTATATGGCTAATAGCTTTTATCATGTCTTTTGGTAGTTAAGTCCTTTGGCATGTATTTATTTTGAAGAACATGGATGTAATTGAGATATTGATATAGTAATTGAATGTGAGGTTATGTTTTTGTCATTTTGATTTGTACAATGAAATGGTGTAAAAGATATAACTAGTGAGGCATTGATGTTGTACGATTGTCAATTAGGTATCAAGAAGTTAGAGAATGGAGGGGGGGAATTCCCTCAAATGAACCACCAAAACAGGGGAAATCAAGTCTACCTCAGGTGGAGCGCGCTCAAGCGCTGATAAGGGCGCTCAAGCGCGCTGTGTGCGTGAAATAGAGGGAAAATCTCTGCCTTTGGGCGCTTAAGCAGAGGTGGCAAAACAGGTCGGCCCGCCGCCAACTCTCCAAAAACTGGTTAACCCGCCCCGCCCCGCATCTTGAAATGGGTTGAAAATCCCAACCCACCTCGTTTTGTGGTCGGTTGGTGGGTTAATTCGCCTAAAAAATAATTTAAAATAAAAAATAAATTATATTTTATTAATTTTATAATATTACTTATTTTCATTTCACAATCCACTTAGTTTTTTTTCCAATCTCAAGCTTAAATGTATACTAATAGTCAGTCAAATACTTTTTAGGAACTTAATTTTGCCTCCATATATAAATAACCTTTGTCATAAATAAAATTTGTCTTCTTTATTTTTTTTGGGGAGTACTAAGATAAAAAAAATTTCCATATCACAAAAGCATAATGGCAAATAAAATTCTACTTATTAGTAAAAAAAAAACTGACTCGCGGGCCAACCTGTCTCGACCCACCGCAACCCGTTTTGACCCACAACTAAGCAGGGCGGGTTGAGATGGGTTGGTGGGTTGAAATATACAACCCAACTCACCCCGTCGGAGGGTTGGCCGGCCAGGTTCAACCCATATTGTCACATCTACGCTTAAGCGCGCTGAAGACCTGAAAATGGTCAAATTCTTTGCCTATGGGCGCTCAAGCGCCCAATAGAGCGCTCCAGTGCGCTAGCGGCGAAAAATGTGTTCGAAGAGCGCGCTCAAGCGCTCTCAGTGCACTGCTCGTTTTCAGCACAAACGTAGTTTAGTAAAATTGGTATAACTCGAGCTACAAAGCTCCAAATTGAGTGAGGTTTGAATCTATGTGAAGCTAACACGTAGTATTATAAACCTGTAAAATATTAGAGCCATTGGATGAGTATATCAATACTATTTTAGGATTGAAGTTGATGCTATAATTCCCAAAGTTCGATTTTGTCAGCTACCTTGCGAGTTTAATAACTCTGCGTATACTTAACCAAATGGTTTTTGTAATATCTTTTCGAAAAGCCCTAGACGTCTAGTTTATCATAATGAAAAGGTTAGAGTTAATGGTTAAGTGTAGTGGTCTCATTTTAGAGAATGTTACATGGTTGCAATTACGATTTTGGTTATATTAAGTCCGTTTTTGTTTTAAAAAGTAAATGAACAATGTTTTTGTGAAAAAGTTTATCCGCAGTTTTAATTGAACCAATGTGATTGTAGCTGCGCTTAATTTCTTAAGTAATGTTAACATTTTCGGATGTGCAACGGGCCGTTACAAATATCCTTTAATAGACCTAACTCATTTAATGACCACATACAATACTAACAATACTTTGTTGCCCTAAACTTAAATGGAAAGACTAAGTGATCTACCTTTCTCATTTGGTTATCATGCCAACCCTTCCCTTCATCTCATTATTTACCTTTCGATCAAGAATAAGGATATTGCATCAACTTTTAAGTGATCAAAAGAAAGCTTTTCTAGAACTAGAAGTCTTCTTCCATGAACTCTAAAGGCGGATCCATGAACTTTGTCATAATTCCTTTATTGTGCACTGATTCCTAAGTCTTATGGGAGTGTTGCCCAAGTATCTTATGGATAACTAATCCCTTTTAGAGATGATGAATCATTTCAGCTTGTCTATCTATCCTCATGCCTTTAAGTCATATCCAAAAGTACATTGTCCTCCCTATGTTTCAGGGGAATAGAGTTGTACAATTAAAGTATGACCCTTAGATATAGTATTCGATGACAACCTCAAGTCTAATGATAATCTATATTACCAAATGATAAGATATTGCACCCAATGTTACATGGTATAAGGATTCCTTGTTGACTTTCTCAGTGGATCAATTAAGTGCAATTTGTTCCACTAACAAATCCACCCACAACATTAACTAAGACATGTCGATGTCTACATTCATGAGGTTCGTATCTTACATTCCTATGTAAGTATCCTGGCATCATGCTAGTTTAGTTGAGTCTACAATGCCCTTTCTTAATAACTCTAGACCGAAAACAAGTTTACTGAATAATCAAATTGTATACTTGAGTTCTCATTATAAATCCTCAAGGATACATCTTGATTATCCCAAGAGCCTTTATCAAGTTAAAAATATTAACAATAAAAAGGCGAGACAAAAATACGAAACAAATAATTATTCGTGAAAATATCATAGTTGATAGTATCATCTGACTCCTTATATTATCTCGGGGGCACCTATATACTAAACCTGTAGAAATTCTTTTTTTTTTTTTTTATCAATTTCAAAATTTTATGTGCATGAACATTTTTTCCAAGAAAAATGAAATAAGCATACGTTAACTCGATTACAGTACTAATAGCTTGTTTGGGAGTTCAAAGTTGAAAGATTTCTTCTTGAAATGAGACTACTTAAATAATTGATAAGCACTAAAATATTTATCTTGAGATGAGCAATAAATAGTTCTATGAGAAGGGAATTCCAATCCATTGGCGCATGGGCAGAGACTCACGTAATATGTTTATAAATGTTTTCAGTCATTTTATGTGTTGAACATGGACTGGTCACATTACAAATTAAAATCTATTGCTTTATCATTTATGACACAACCCATGCATTTGAGCAATTATTGGTAGCTTCTAAAACGAAAGGGGAAAAGTAGTTGTATGGAATGGCTCCACCCTCCTATGTATTAATTACCATACTTTAAACAATAGAACTAGTCAGTCAGCAAAAATTATGAGGGCAATAAGTCAAAACTCATGACTTGACCTTGCTGAAATACCCGTCCACATCCTTTGACTCTCTTCACAATTTGTTGAAATTATTCCACCACTATCTTCTTCTTAAGAGAGAAAAAAAACACACAGAAAGGAGAGGGGAAAAGATAAACAAATTAAGAGGATATAATATGGGTTTTGATGATTTTAGCAAGGATGATGAAGGTTCACTTCCTGGGTTTCGTTTCCACCCCACTGATGAAGAACTTGTAGGTTTCTATCTGCGCCGGAAGCTTGATAAGAAACCCATTAATCTCGAACTCATCAAACAGATTGATATCTACAAATATGATCCTTGGGATCTTCCAAGTATGTTTCCAGTTACAAGTTCTTTATTTGTTTTCATATATAACTCCTCTCTTTTTCTTTTCCTTTTTCTATATTTATTTGAGCTGCAAATCTTGTGGATAGTTTGTTAAGAGATCAAAATATTAAGAAAAAATTATACTATATATCAACAAAATTTTACACTTTCATACACAAGCATAGTTTGATAATAAATAAAAAGGGTGGTATTCTAACATCCATACCTTTTAAGTGCTTTACTTTTAACTGTTTATTACAACAACAACAACAAAAAAACAACTATGAGTATGATTAGTGACTGTATGGGAATATCATATAAACATTGAGAAATACTTAGAGCTACTGAAGCAAGACATCACATGCTTTGTATCTATACCATTAATGGCAACTTAATTAACTAACTAGTGTTGCAACTTTTTAATTTGTATGTATGCAGAAGGCAGTAGTAGTGGAGGAGAGAAGGAGTGGTACTTCTTTTGCAAAAGAGGGAGGAAATACAGGAATAGCGTAAGGCCCAACAGAGTCACTGGCTCTGGGTTCTGGAAAGCAACTGGGATAGACAAGCAAGTGTTCTCACTCGGAGGAGAAGGCAATGACTGCATAGGACTCAAGAAAACACTTGTTTACTACCGTGGCACCGCCGGCAAAGGCACCAAAACTGATTGGATGATGCACGAGTTTCGCCTTCCCTCTGATCATGACATCAATAACAACGCATCTATTGCCCAAGAAGCTGTACGAAACTTGAACTGATTTCTCAAATGCATTGATTGAATTCATTATTAAAGCAATTTTAATCAACACCTATTATTTGTGTAAAAAACCATTTCAACCAAAATGTTAAGTTGTTGGACGAGCTTATATTAATAGTTTTATATTTTTCTAACACGCGCTCTCTCACGCAAGAGTCCATTAAACTTAAAGGGTGAATGATACATTAGGTCTAGTCTAAATCATTTAGTCACATCAGCTGATACTATGGAAAAAACTATTTAAACTTAAAAACTTAAAAACTTAAATGGTTGAGCGAGATTACATTAATAATTTTATATTTCTCTAATAATTTACAATTTTTTATTCTGTGACTATGTGCAGGAAATTTGGACATTGTGTAGAATTTTAAAAAGAAATGTAACGCAAAGGAAGTACACACCAGATTTGAGACAATTAGCTTCTAAGCGACTTTCCAGTGATAAGATAACAAGAATGAGAAGTGTGGAGTTTAACACAAATGGAGAAGCATATATCAATTTTGGTACAAGCCTTGGCCATCATGAAAATGATCGTAAGCCAGTGGTAAAAAACACAAGCAGTGATCAAAGGCATCAGTTTCATGTAGGTGAGTTGAGCTCCCCCGTGGCACACCAAACTCAATTAACAGCACCTTCATCAAACTTCTGGATTAACCCTGAAGCGAACGACTTCTTCGCGTTTGAGAATTGGGACGAGCTTGGATCGGTTGTGAAATATGCTGTTGATTCGTCTACGATTTAAATAACCGTGTTATTTCTTGAGTATTAGTTAGAATACATTAGGAATACATAGAAGTATATCTACATCTAGCCAGTGAGAGAGAGAGGAGTGGTTTTGTGTAAGAGAGTGGTTAATTAGTATTATCGAACTTGTAATTTTGAACCCACTTGTTTGACTTATGGACTTGTTTCTGCTTGAATTCTTATGAAAACTGTCAAAAAAATCATTTGAAGGCCTAAGCCCAATCAGGAAAAATTCCACCCTAAGTCAAATGCTGAGGCAATATTCGTACAAGTATATTTGCATCTCTAGGTACACTTCTCAAACCGTAGTTTTCCAGGCACACAATGTGTTGGGTATGGCTCATACTTCACATGATGATGTTGGCCCTAATTGTCGGGGTCAGCAGAAAGGCAACTGGGGTAAATCATAGCAGTTTGGGCTTGGGCCCATGAATAGCTGCTGTTAGGGTTTCTTATAATCCTATTTATATTTGCCTTGTAAACCGAGAGACTTGTAACGAGTGGCGGTGAGGTGAATATAGTACAGACAAGCTGGACGTAGCCTATATTGGGTGAACCAGGGTAAATCATCGTGTCAATCTCTCTACTCTTATCTCTTTTTCTGTTTTCTCGATTCTGTGTGATTGTCGATTTCCAACAATTGGTATCAAGAGCTTTGGTTCTGCGACCAGGGTTCTTGTGACAGATTGGGGTTTCGCGATTTAGGGTTTTTTCTTGGCATAGATAAAACTGCGAAATTGATCTGGAGAGGATATCGACTGGCCAATCACGGGTCGAGGTTGAAAAGTTCGGAGGATAAGGGTTCGAGTTATGGAAGCTGAAGACGGAGGCTCTGCTCGTTGACAGGGACGTGTGGTACGTGATCGAAGATGATAAGCCGTCTGTACCAACAAAACCTGTCGGTGAAGAAACGTCAGGTGATGGCGAGAGTCGAAGGAGTTGAAGGCGTGGACCAGAGACGATCGAAAGGCGCGAAGCCTGATCTGGTTATGCCTGGCTGATAACGTTCTGGTGAACGTAACTTCTGAGAAGTCCGCGAAGGATCTCTGGACGAAGCTGGGAAGTCTCTATCAGAGCAAGTCACTCGTGAACAAGCTGTTCCTGCGAAGGAGGCTGTATAATCTGCGGATGAGCGAAGGTGATTCTTTCTCTGCTCATTTAAATGAATTTAATACTATTTGTGCACAACTTTCGTCTATAGACATTAACCTGGACGAGGAAGACAAAGCTTGCACCTTGCTGTGTTCACTGCCCAACTCTTGGGAGCACATCATTGTGTCAATTGGTACTAGTGTTAATAAACTGTCGTTTGAGACGGTTGTTGCTGCCTTATTGTCTGAGGAGATGAGAAGGGTAGGTTCTGAAGGTACCAACAATGAGGCTCTGGTTGCTAGAGGGAGGAGTGATGACAAATCAAAGTCTGGTCACAGAGGAAGATCGAGGGGACGATCAAAGTCCCGTGATAAATCTGATAAATCTGAAATGAGGTGCTGGAGGTGCAAAAAGGTTGGACATCTGAGAAGGAATTGCAGAAGTAAAAGTGTAGGTCCTGAGAAGCGGGATGATTCACAACCGTCTGCTTCGGGTACAAAGAAGGATGATGATGATAGTACAGGGGACCTGTACATGGCGTTTGACAGTCATAATGACTGTAATGATTGGATTATTGACACTGGAGCATCGTTTCATATGACACCTCATAGGGAGTGGTTCTGCACCTATGAATCGTATTCTGGCGGTACAGTTAGAATGGGAGATGACACGACTCATGCAATTGTGGGGCGTGGGAAAGTAAAGCTGAAGATGAGTGACGGGACAGTCAAGAATCTGCCGGGTGTGATGCATATTCCGGGGCTTACCAGAAATCTGATCTCCGTTGGTAGTATGGCAGATGCTGGTATTAATTTTAGCAGTGACAAGTATTCTTGCAAGCTGACTCGAGGAGCTTTGGTTATTGCAAGAGGAGAGCGTCATGGTAAATTGTGGAAACTGCTGGGTAGCACAGTATTCAGTGGTGAAAGCTATGTTTCAGAACAGGCGGAGGAGGACACTGCTATGTTATGGCATAGGAGGCTGGGGCATATTGGAGGAAAAAGTCTGGAGACTCTAACATCAAAGAAGTTGGTGGATGGAATTCCGAGCTGCTCTATGGGGTTTGGATTTTGCGAGCATTGCCTGCAAGGGAAGCAAAATCGGGTATTTTTGATTCCATAGGAGGAAGAGCTGAGGGGGTTCTGGACTTGATACACAGCGACGTGTTTGGCCCCACACCTGTAGCATCACATGGAAAATCAAGGTATTATGTTTCTTTTACTGATGATTTTTCAAGATATGTGTGGTTATATTTCTTGCGCAGCAAGGATGAAGTGTTCGATAAATTCTGCGAGTTCAAGGCTTTGGTGGAAAATCAATTTGATCAAAAAATCAAGGTGCTAAGAACTGACAATGGAGGGGAGTTCTGTTCAACAAAATTTGACCAGTTATGTGCGAGCAATGGGATTGTAAGTGGGTGTTCAAGAAGAAGGTTGGTGCCAATGGGGAGATTGAACGCTACAAGGCTCGATTGGTTGCAAAGGGATATTCACAGACAGAAGGGGTTGATTATGGTGAGGTATTTTCACCTGTTGCAAAGTTAAATTCCATAAGACTGGTTTTGTCTGTAGCAGCTGCATATGACCTAGAGGTGGAGCAGCTGGATGTGAAGACAGCTTTTCTTCATGGTGATTTGGAGGAGGTTATTTTCATGAAGCAACCAGAGGGGTTCATTGCAAGAGGCAAAGAGGAGCTAGTCTGCAAGCTGAATAAATCTCTGTATGGCCTGAAGCAGTCCCCAAGGATGTGGTACATGAAGTTCGACACTTATGTGCTGAAGCTTGGCTTTGACCGTTGTGATGCTGATCACTGTGTTTATGTGAAAAGGTTAGAAGGTGACTTTGTTATTCTAACTTTGTATGTTGACGACATGTTACTCGTTGGAAACAGTTTGAAAATGATCAGCACTGTTAAAGGACTGCTAGCAAAGCAGTTTGAAATGAAAGATCTAGGCGCTGCAAATGTGATCTTGGGTATGCAGATTAAGAGGGAGCGTGACAAATGAAGATTATGGTTAAGTCAGCAGAAGTACATAGAAGATGTTCTGAAGAAATTCAAGATGACTGACTGCAAGCCTGTGTTGACTCCCATGTCTACTGGTTCTAAGTTATCGGCTGACCAGTGTCCCAAGACTGAAGAAGAAAAAGAAGAGATGGCGTCAGTTCCTTATGCTAGTGCAGTAGGGAGTCTGATGTATGCCATGATTTGTACTCGACCTGATATTGCTCAAGCAGTGGGAGTATTGAGCAGGTATATGTCCAAGCCAGGAAATGAGCATTGGACGGCTGTGAAGCGTGTGTTCCGCTATCTTCGTGGTACGTCTGACCTTGGGTTATGCTATGAAGGCGTGAAGGGCTCAAGGGGACAGACATTGTTAGAGCTGAGATGCTTTGTGGATGCTGATTGGGGAGGTGACATTAATAGTAGAAGATCTACAAGTGGATATGTTGTTTCTTCATTTGGCGGAGCTATCAGTTGGATAAGTAAGAGGCAGAGCACTGTTGCTTTATCTTCTACAGAGGCTGAGTACATGGCCTTGACACATGCTGTTAAGGAAGCTATTTGGTTACGGAGGTTGTGCAAAGAGCTTGGCTTTGCACAAGGAGAGATGATCGTTGGGTGTGACAGTCAGAGCGCCATTTTCTTGGCTAAGAACCCAGGTTTCCATGCGAGGACCAAGCATATCGGCATACAGTACCACTTCATCAGAGAGAAGATTGAAGACAAGGTTGTATTGCTGGAGAAGGTTGACACAAAGGTCAACAATGCTGATTTTCTGACCAAGGCAGTGACTTCGGAGAAGTTTGAATGGTGTACAGATGCTTTGGGATTGAAGAAACATGTGAAGCATTCACCAAGTGGGAGAATGTTGGGTATGGCTCATACTTCACATGATGATGTTGGCCCTAATTGTCGGGGTCAGCAGAAAGGCAACTGGGGTAAATCATAGCAGTTTGGGCTTGGGCCCATGAATAGCTGTTGTTAGGGTTTCTTGTAATCCTATTTATATTTGCCTTGTAAACCGACAGACTTGTAACGAGTGGCGGTGAGGTGAATATAGTACAGACAAGCTGGACGTAGCCTATATTGGGTGAACTAGGGTAAATCATCGTGTCAATCTCTCTACTCTTATCTCTTTTTCTGTTTTCTCGATTCTGTGTGATTGTCGATTTCCAACACAATGGGCATCCACCACCTCTTTTGGCTTCACGCCACCACATCCTTGCATGAAAGATTTGTCACCTGTGATTATCGTCTCCATAGTTTATCACTCACTTGTGGGTCCAACATTAACCACGTTCTTATTCGATCAAATATTGGCGTCATCTTTGGGAAATGCTAAACTACAATAGACCACAAGTTTGCCTCTCTGGCAATCAGAATTAGATGTCTGCACCATCTTGGGTGGCTTCGGGGGCAAAGGTTCCTGGGTAATTAAATGTGAGGCGAAAGTACCTAAGAGAAGTGTTGATGATAAGAGACAAGCCCGTGTTGAAGGAGATTAGAAGTAGGGTGAAACAACCCCTGCTCGTATTCATAGATAATGATATGAAAAGAGTGATGTCTGGTCAGGATGACATGACATCCTAGTCATTTCCAAAAACCTAGTTACATGCCAAGCATGGAAGATGCTAATAGACAATGGGAGCTCATCTGATATCATCTGTTAGGATGCTTTTGTAAAGTTTGAATTTGAAAGTGCAAAAATATGCTACCTTTATCATATAAAGGTTGCGAGTATGCACATGTATGAACATAAAATTTTCATTCATGTGGAAACACATATGCATAGTTGATCATATAACTCAATAAAATTCATGAATAGCAAGCAATTCTTGATTATAATATTTGTGATTACACTAAGGTCGTACCTTTGTGTCTTGCTAGGGTTTCAAACCTTGATCAAGATATACACGTAGGCATCCTCTAATGATGATCCACACTATCACTTGATGGCTTAGGAGAACACTTCTCGTAAGTCCTTCCTTGCTTGGTCGCTTGCTAGGCCGAACAAGAATGGGGTGGATTACTCTATGGTGTCTAAC